GGGAGGGGGGTCCACCCGGCAGGGTGGGGCCACCAAGGAGGGGGGGTCCACCAAGGATGGGGGTCCACCAGGCGGGTGGTCCACCAAAGGAGGGTGGGGCCACAAGGCAGGGGGGGTCCACCAAGGCGGGGGGCCACCATGGCGGGTGGCCACCCAAAGGGAGGGTGGTCCCCCAAGGCGGGGGGGGCCACCAAGGCAGGGTGGGCCACAAGGGATGGGGGTCCCCCAAGGAGGGTGGTCCACCCAAGGGATGGGGGTCCCCAAGGCAGGGTGATCCACCAAGGGAGGGTGGCCACCAAAGGGGGGTGGGCCACCAAAACGGGTGATCCCCCAAGGGGGGTGGTCCACCAGGGGAGGGGGGTCCATAAAAAAAACTTTTTTCATCATTCCCTTCACTGTCTTCCAGAGGTGCGCTATAACTGTTTTTTAACTGTATGTAACATTTTAGTTTTAAAAATGCAACATTTAAAACTCCCCCTTCAGATGCAGTCACTGTACTTCCCATCCCGGGGTCAAGTCCCGCCTACCAGTTTCCCCGAATCCCCTTTATAAAATTTTTCTTTGTCACCCCTCCAATGTACATCAAGTATTTAAAAAACCCTTAGTTCCATTGACTTTATCAAACACGTTACGCCGCCTGTGGGTCCAAATCCTCGCACACAAAAACCCCCTTACCCCCTCCTCCAAACCCCCAGGCCAACCCCCACCCCACCTTCCCCCCACTCAGATTTATACACCCTTTGAATCATTTGTTTTGTTCCTTTCCCCACTTTTCCGAAACCTCAACAAACCCCCCTCACCCTCTGGATAAAAATTTGGTAAACCCACACCTTTTTCTATTTTTCCCAAAAACAAATTTTTTTGCATTTTAATTCGCACCCCAAAATTGCCCTCAGAAAGACATCCCACTGCCTCCACCTTTTCCTCATTTTAAAATTGTCACCCATGTTCCACCCATACAAAAGTTGGTTTCAAATTTCTCTATAAAATTCCCCCTTTTTACTTCCCCGGACAAAAGTTCTTTTTCCCCGACTCCTAATGCACCACTCACCCTTTTTCCCCCATTTAATTCGTGATTTCCCCCCATCCTTCTAGACCCTTGTTGACAAGTCCACTCCCCAAATATCGAATACTTCACCCCCTCCTCTTCTCCCCCAATCTGATATCCAGTCTTTTTGTCACCTAATCTTTTTGCTATCCCCATAAACCTTTTTCTTTCCTTTTCACTTTTTTAAATTTTTTTCTTTTCTAAACCCCACCAAATTCACCCCTAACCTCCCCAAATTTTCTTAAAATCTCCCAAAAAAAACAGTGTCTCAGCAAATACAAAATGTAAACTCCCCCTTTGTGTTTGATTTTTCACGTTTTTTTGCGAGACCCATGCTTTTTGGGGATTCTGAAACTTCTATTTCCCCTGGGCAATTATTATATATATGGGGGGGGGGTTGTGCAAAAGGCCTATCCAAGTTGGTCGCCGCGCGTCAGTGTTTAACGTTTTGGGATCTGATGTGAGGGATGGGGACCCCCTTTTAAAACTTCCTGGATGCTTTACTTTCATAGTTCCTTGAAAGTGAGGGTCCAAAGCGCTTGGAATTCTTTTTCTTTCAGAGTGGTTGTTTTGCAAAAATTTTTAAATCACCTGTTCGTGATCTTATTGCTTTATTTATATATTTTATAATATATTTTATTATAAAAAAATTTTTTATTATATATATATTTAAATATATATAATATATTTTAAATTTTTTTATTATTATGAATGCTAAAGTAGGAGAAAAAATTTTGAGAGGGTGTGGTGGTAAGTTTTGGGGTGCCGCTGTAATTATAAGGGAGCCCTTTGATTGAACTTGTATAGAAAGGGGTTAGTTTAAAAGGGAATACTATTTTTAAGGAAAAAAGGTAAATAAGTATTACAAGAAGATGTAGGGGGAAATGACATTTTTTGTTGGAATTTTGTATTGGTAAAAAAAGACTGTTGAGTGACTTGGAGACCCCTGTTTAAGAGGGGCCAAAGATATACAGATCACTTTCTAGTTGTAGCTAAAATGAGAGTAAAAGGTAGATGGATAAAGGAGAATAGAAGCATCAGGGAAGAGGAGGTGAAGGTTTTTAAACTAAAAAAAGGAGGGGGTTAGGGGAAGTATAAAAACATTGGGGATAGATGGGTAAAGAGGCTAGGCATGGGTCGAAGAGGTATGGGGTAGGTTTAAAATGTAGTGTTTTAAATGTTCAGCGAAGTTTTGGAAAGGAAAGTGGGGGGGGAGGGGGAAAAGGAGCGAGGTGGGAAAGATGATGCAAAGAGGAGTAAAGGGAGAAAAAGTTGCATTAGAAGTTTTTACAAAGTAGAAGGATGCAAGGAGGGGAAGGTATATGGAGAAAAAGAGAAGGGTTAAAAGGGGTGGTGAAGCAATGTAAAAGGGCAAATGGAGATGGGTGAGAGTTATCAACAAATTTTGTTGAAAATAAGAAAAAGTTTTGGAGTGAGATTAACAAGTTAAGA